TGTCACTCCTGAAATCTGCCCACAGGCAGGCCCCGCTTTGCTTTTGCTCACAGTGGTTGCTGTAATGATTGTGGCTTGATTGACTTCAGTAGAATTATTCGTAATTTACAGCACTCTAACTGGAGAGCAGAATTAGATTCTTGTGTTTTTTCTTTGAAGTATGCAGTGCTCTCAGGGAGGCTGTTGTGCTGAGGGCATATTACTTTCAGTGATTCTTTTTAATTTTGTTTTTAACGTTTAAGAAGAATAAGACGCCTCTCCATCTAAACCAGAAGGACGTGTATGAAAAAATAGTAAGACTCATAGAGGCGAATGGTGGGTTCAGAACCTTGTGAGTCATTGCAGAGAGATTGACAGTTTGGGAACATGAACGCGGAGGAGTGAGGATGGGATGCTCAGGGGCTGATGAGATAAGGGAGTCTATAGAATGTCAGCAGAGGGGTCAGCAGCAGCATGCATCTCATTCCAGAGTTAAACTCAGGCATTGGGAAATGGCATTCCTTGATGGCAAACACAATCTGACAGTTCTCAGCTAGCTACAGTATTCACCTCCCCCTCCTCCCCCTTCTCCCCCTCAACTGCATATCGGTGGATGCTTTGGAGATCATGTCTGTTCTTGCCTTCAGAGCAGCAACAAGAAAATATTTAAAGCCACAAGCACACCTTGGAGGCTTTACAGGGTAAGTCAGGTTAGCAAGAAATTTATGGACTTTAAGAATTGTGTCCCTATTCAGGCAGCTCAGTTCTTGGGACAGTCGATCTCTTTATCTCCTATTCAGAGATTGTGAAGCTTTACTCTAGATGTAGCCCTTCGCTTTTGTCTTTCTTCCTCTTCTTTCTTTCTTTCTTTCTTTCTTTCTTTCTTCCTATTCTTCCTCTTCTGTCTGTCTGTCTTGTCTTTCTGTCTGTCTTTCTGTCTGTCTTTCTGTCTGTCTTTCTGTCTGTCTTTCTGTCTGTCTTTCTGTCTGTCTTTCTGTCTGTCTTTCTGTCTGTCTTTCTGTCTGTCTTTCTGTCTGTCTTTCTGTCTGTCTTTCTGTCTGTCTTTCTGTCTGTCTTTCTGTCTGTCTTTCTGTCTGTCTGTCTTTCTTTCTTCTTCCTATGTATGTGAAAGAATTTCCTTCTGCTCCTGGGCAGGCCTGGACTGGATCATCTCCTGGAATTAACTACATAGGAGTTCATTCGTTCCTGCTCTGAAATTACTTGGTGTTTGCTAGGAATAACTTGTTCACGGGTGGTAGGGAAGGAGCTGTCGTCCCCTTCTTATTACCAAAGGTGCAGGGACGTAATACTGCGTTAGTGGGCAGGGTAGAAGATTGAGTCGAGAACTTTTTTATAATCCCAGCTGTTGACAGCGTTTAACTGGGTGACCTTGGGCAAGTTACTTCACTTCTCTGTGAAACAGGACTAACCATGTTTACCTCCCTGCCCAACAGGGGTGTTGAGAGCATTTTTGTGAAGCATTTTACATATATATAGGATTGTATTATTGCTGAGAATTGTTGTTTCTTTATGAATATGTATGGAAGCTGCTAAGATGTTACCTTACCTTGGCCTTCACACGCAGCTCGTTAGAGGCTCAGAGTTGCTCTGAATTTTGGTAGTGGAAGAGCCAAGGAGTGTTGTCTTCAGAAGCTGTTGACATTTTTGGAAGAGAAAGCGGCAAACCCAATTTGTCCTTCTCTAATTAGCACTGTGTTAAAAATACATTTATTCTGAGTATAGTCCTTTTGGTAGCATTTTGAGAATGGGGCCTAGGAAGAGTCCTGTCAAACTAAGGATGTAGTATTTTTCTGTAGACTTTTTTTGTGAGATGCTACAATACAGCTCTTACTGCTGAGAGAGAAGAAATAACAATGACACATTGTGCTTATAGTTTTATTTTTGAATCCTGACAACTGAGCTTTGACAGGGGAATCAACAGCGCAGAGACCCATGAGAAGGGTGCATAAGCACTGTCTCCAGGGTGTCACTCGTGCAGTGTCAAGGAAAACTTCCTCTTTCAATCAATACTGCAGTGCAGCTGGGCTGCTTCGAAAGAGTGGTCGTAGCTGGGAGGGTTTCCAGTTTGTAAAGGAAAGAAAGATGTGATCCGCATCTCATTTGATCTTTTACACCGAGTGGAAAAAGGGCAGGAACATTGTAAAGGAGACCATAGCAGACCTGTGTTGTTGAGGGAGAATTTTGTTTGGCAGAAACTGAAAAGTATGGCCAGTAGCTTACCTTGTGCTCTTCTTGCAAATGACAATGTGCTGGATGGAAATGTGGTTCAGAGTGACTTGATACGGCCGTGACCTTAGTTTGTAGTGGTGCTCGTGCCCATACAGCCAAACACTGGTTATTTTTGTCATATATATGTGTCCCCAGATGCCACGTGAAGAATTAGTCAAAAAATTTTTTTAAGGTTTTATGGATGTTACTCTTGAGCTCTGCCAGTATTTCATTCTGTTCCAGGTGTTGTATCTGTTTAAAAAAAAAAAAAAAGAGCCTTTTTGCATTGTGTTGTCATAGGATTTCATGTTTGAGATGAAGTTGTTGACAGATGTATGTGAGTACCAAGTGCTTTATAATAAATGTTCCAGCCTTGTAGGTTGTAGGTCTTCTCAGGTGACATGAGTCAATTGTATAATGACAGCTATCAGATAACATCTTCTGTCCCTGCTCAGAGCCAGCAATCTGAGATATTAGTCTACTGTGTTGGCAAGGCAAGCTTAGGTCAGATAGAAACCTGTCACAAGCTCTGATCTGAATAAATGACTGTGCTTCCTCCTATGCTGACATCTTTTAGTTTGTGCTTTTTGGCCAGGGTGTTAGCACTCACTTCTAAAATCTCATCAGATTTACTGCACGCACTGTGGCTATAATGAATTGAAAAGTGAAGTTGTGACATGAAGAAACGTAAACTGGTGTAGAGTGGATTGAGCCTCACTGTTGTTCTTACCAGTTTGTTAGAAAACTCTGGAGTGGTTTAAACTGAATGTGCTTTACCTTGTAAGTGAGTGAGCATGCTAGTGTTGCACAGTTTGTGAATTATAAGAAATTCTTTATGTAACTCATTATTTACAGTTTTGGCCCCATATTCAGATTATTGTTTGGAGAAAGGAAAGTTAGTTTCAGTGGTGGAAGATGGAATGAGGTTCAAACTTTTTGTTAATTGTTGTTTTGAGGGAAATAAGTGTCTCTGTCTTGGATACAGAATTTACCTTTCTCGGGTTGCAAGCAACATGCTATGTACAAGAGAGAAAAGTCTGATTTTCAGTAGCGGCAGCAGCTGCTGGCTGAATTCTCGTTTTAAGGTTCGGGAGGTGTTTGTTGTTTGTCATGGCTCTCTGTGCTCTTTACCCCTGATGCAACCTTGCTCCCGTAAGGGTCGTGTGATGCCGGTGGGGTGACCTGTGCTCAACAGCCAGACCTTACGTACCTGGTGGTGCCTGTTTAAAGGAGTAAGAAATTTTGTTTAACCTGTTCCTTTGTCATCCCCCCCTCGCCATTCTCTGATTTGTGTTGCAAGGATAGGTTTGAAAAGTCTTTATGTATCTAACTAATTTTAAAATTGTATCATCAGTAGACTTCAGGTCGAGGATTTGTGTAAATGGGAACTTTCCGCAATAGTCACAAAGTTTCACAAAAAGCAGCAAATACTTTGTTTCCTTGTTCTAAGCACAAGTGCACTGATTAGCACTTCCTCTCCGTTTGTGGCTGTCCTATTTGTACTTGCAGCGAGATATGTATGTCACTTAGCACCTGATTCTCCCATGCAAAGCTCTTGTCAGACAGCTTTCATCTAAAGTATCTTGTAGTGCAGCACAAAAGATACTTTTCAATATGCTTATGTGCGTTTCGTGGCACTTTGCCTTTTTACTGAGGTGACAAAGGGGGTTGAGTATAAATGAGAAATAGCTTGTACATTTCTTACTAGGAGGAATATTGCCTTGAAAGCACCATTGTAACAGTTCGGATGGTTACTGGAATGGTCTCATTCTGGTTTGAGCTTGGACTTCTTACCTTTGAAAGCAAGAGGGAAATTTGAATATGGGCAGTTATTCTATATTAAATGTGCTTTCTTAATTTGTAAAGCACTTGAAGATACGCTGACATGGATGGTGCTGTAAAAGAGTACGTCTATGGCAATAAAAAAGGAATTTTGCAAATTTCTGTTCTGTGAAAGGGCTGCTTCTAATGGAATTGAATTGTTTAGTTGAAACAGTTCTTGTTTGAGGAAATTAGAAGGGCTTTATTCCTGTCATAACAGAACTGGGTCACTGTCTTTTTTAACTGGGTCATAGGAGTTTCCAGCATGGGAGGCCTCTTACCCTGTTTGATGAGGGTAAAGGATTACAACAGCCAGTCCTGTTAACCCTTACTGCCAGGCATTCTGCTTTCTGCCTGAACTAGTCATGAGGAAGCTACCTGCCCGCATAAATGCAAGGTACTGCCTGTTACACGTTTTCTGGGAACTTAACTGGGAGCCTGGTCCTGTTGATCTTTACTGGTCTGCAGCTGACCTGGGCTGGAGATGGGGAGGTCAAGCCTCGCCAAGCTAGCCCTGTGTTTTGGCTCTGGTGTGGCCAGAGGCTGTTGTCTGTTTCACTGGAGGAGAGGAAGAATGCAAATGTGTGGAACTGTGACTGGAGTGCTCTGGGCTCTTTCAGTTCATCTTCGGATTTCAATGAATCCTGCCTTAAAAACACTGTGTTACTGTAATGCTGGGTGAGGCCAGCTTCCACTCTCAAACCACAGTCTAGGGAAGTTTTAAGATTTACGGAGCAGACCCTCTCTTGTTAGGGAGTCGCCCCTGTTTGTCTGCTTTGTGTGAAAAGAGGCAGTGTCTAAAAATAAATAAATAAAAAAACCAAAACAAAATAAAAAACCCAGTGGCACAACAACTGGCTTCCTTCCATGAACCAGCCACATTTCCAGCCTGCCCACCACGGTACCGGGGCACCGTCTGGTATTAAGAGGCTGCTCTTGTGTGTACATCCAGCCTTGTGATTTGTGTTCAGAGCCCAGAGTCTCCCGGAGTTCAGCTCTGCTGGAACAAAATGTTCAAGACAATACTGTGGGATCCAGCTGGAGGTTTAGCATTAATGCAGTGTCAGCCAGATGGAAATGAGGTGGAGAGGGATGCGGAGGGCTGGGGGGTGGGGAATCTCTTCTCATTAGAGGGAAAAGAAAACAATAGTGACTCTGAAATGCACACTGACATGTATCTATAGTGTTAAATGCTAGCTATGATAGGCATGTTCTCGTTCAGCTCCTTGCCAGTAAGATGTCAGTTGTGATTTGTGTGTGGTTGATACAGTAAATAGGGCAGAGACTGCTCTCAGTGAAAGGCCTCTAACTCCACTGATTCTGGATGTACACTGACATAACTAGAGCGTAATTTGCTCATTGCCTGTGATTTTGCAAAGACCCTAGTGAGTTTGTGTGTACATCTGGACCTGCCTGGTGTTGGCCTGCTTTTCAGAAAGTACCAACCGCTTACATTCTAAAATTACCAGTATTGAAAGATACAAGTAACTTCTTCAAAACTTCAGAATTGTTTGTAGATGCAACATGAAGCTGGTAAGCAACGATAGACCAATTTTTTCCTTTCCTGCACCGTTTATTTCTGCTGATGTGCTTGTGGATAGCTGAGCAGAGAGCAAGGTCCGTCAAGTTTTTCAGTCTCTTTTTACAGGATCGCTTTGTTCTTTGAAATGGCTCTGATGGGGTAAGGCTTCATCTGTTTGAATAAGATGATAGTGAAATGAAGCTTCCAACTCCCATTTGTGCATGTTGATGCAGTTGAAGTTTTAGATATCTCTTTGCACTTGGTGCCAAAATTTGATATGATGAAAGTAATTTCACGTTAGTCGTTCCTTTGAAGAAAAATCTGTTCTGTTTCATCTCCTGCTTGCCATACAAGACCGGAAATTGTAAACTCCAGTCAGCCTCTGGAAAATCTGTAGCTGTGTGACCATGGAGAAACAGGGAGCGTTAAGTTCATGTTTTCTGTACTTCAGTCATGGTGGTTCTGTCCAGGAGTGTTCGTAGAAAAGAAAGGGGAGGTGGGGGGGAAAAAAAAGCCAGTTGGAGAACACAAGGTAACTTACTTGTGTTCCATGTTTCTCAGACATATAGTCTTCTGCTGTCTCCTGAGATAAAGCAAAATATTCAGCAACCTACTGTCCTTCACATCGTGCTTTAAATGAGCCAAAATCCGTGGTGTTCGTCTAAGGATATTTGAAGGAGCTTGGTAGCTGGCTCTGCTGTGGAGCCGCAGAAGCTGTTTGTGTTGTTTGTCTCTCACTTTTTCTGTTGGTTTTGCATTTAAACTGAGCAAAGCAGAACTACCTGAATGCAGATTCAAAGAGACAGTTCTGCTTTCGCAGAAAAAGGATTTAGCAAGAAAGAATCTCTCCTCCTCCTCTTTTATCGGCATATTTTGTTCTTTCCTCTTTAAGAGGAGAGGTCAGCAGGTTGTAGTGAAATCTACTCGAAAAGATTGAGAAATGCTTCATGGTCCATTCCTGTAAGCAGTCTTGGTTCATTTCAGAACATCTCTGGAAGAGCTGTGATGTTCTAAACCATGTTTCAGGGCCCCTCTGAGTCACATGAAGTATTAATTGAACATCATAGAGCCTGGATGGCTGCAGCTGGGTGGGCAGTGGTACAGCGTCACTTTCAGTCCTCTGAGGAATATCTTTGGGGAGAGAACACTTCCTTCATATAATAAAGGAAAAACTTCTTAATGTAAGAAGAAGAATGAGGAGAGGAAACACAGTGGTACTGCACTTAGTGACCTTGTTTAGGAACAATCAGTAAGCAAGAGATGTATTCTCTCTTCTGGAATATTCATAGGTCATTCTCCAAGGGACTGAGGCCTCGCAGTATCAGAGCTGGCTGCGGTCATGTGTTGGATGCTGAACTGTTAATTAAATTACCCACAGCACAGGCCCCTGGCTAAAGCCTTTAAAAGTGTTTAGCACTCTTTCATCTGTGCCCTAGTATCTTCTGGGAGCAGCTTGCAATTAAAGTCAGGCACTGATGAAAACTGTTGAGGCTCTCAAACAGGGCGATACTAGCAGTAGTAAAAAGCCAGCAAACCCAGTGATTTACTGGTGGCAGGTCAGTGCTGGGAAAGCCCGTGCCCCTGCTTTAAAAGTCCCTTTTAAAGTTCTCCCAAACATGCAGTTCCCAGGCTCCCATTCACTACTCATTTAGAGAATGAATGTCTCTCTTTTCTCTCTTCTGTATGTTCCTGTGATCTGTGTGATCATAAGTTGCATTGCTGTGCTCCATTTTCCACTGCCTGTGGCTTCTAGGCTTTTGTGCGGCTTCTTTAGAATTTCACAAGTACATCACAAGATGCTATTTTGGGTTGCTACAGGATAAAGAGCGTTTAAGATCTTCAGAGTGCCCTTTGTCGCTTTCCATTAAGACTGTGGAGATACTCAGAAAACAAAATGAATAAACCAAAACTCTTGGTAAATCATAGTCCAGCCTGTTCACTTCTACTCACATAAAGGAGTTCAAAAGGTGTTACTTTACTTTTTTGCAGAGTTTATTTTGATCCTGGAATACAGTTTTTCCAGATTTTTTACTCCCTGAATCGGGAGCATATGCTTAATCAGCCACAGAACTTAAATGTGTGTCTCTGACAACGTTTCTGAAACACGGTGCTTAGGCAAAGGAGCTGGGCCAAGCGGCAGTAACCATGCTGTAGGTGTTTCTTTTTCTGTCGGGGAGCTTCCCAGTGACTGTGAATGAGGGATACTTCGATGTGTCTGAACATTTAGTGGGCTGCGTTTTGTTATGGTGTTGCCCAGAGCAGCTGTGGATGCCCCATCCCTGGAGGGGTTCAAGGCCAGGCTGGATGAGGCTTTGGGCAACCTGGGCTAGTGGGAGGTGTCCCTGCCCATGGCAGGGGGTGGCACTGGATGGGCTTTAAGGTCCCTTCCCACCCAAACCGTTCTGTGATTCTCAGGTCTAACATACAGAAGAGGCTGTGTTTTACTTTTCTGTGAAATGTGTCCCTTCCTACGTTTGTGGTGCAACTTCTTTGGAGGAGGGTGGCCCGCTGATAATTAGTGTTGCTTTGAAAAGCCAGGCCCATTACATCAGAGTGTTGCAGAAGTGCCCGCCTGTAATCAGCAAAAAGGAACCTGTTGGCATGGGAGGTTTCTCCTTCTGTCGTCCCGCATTCCGGTCGGTTCCCACTCCTGCACAAAGCTTACGTAACTGTCTCTGAAGCAGAAGAGGGGTCACTTCAGGTGGCTGTTTTGCTCTGGTGGTGTCTCCTCTCCTCTCTAATGCTGTCTGGAAGGATTTGTTAGGTTCTTTTTTCAAAAGGAGAGGCTGGGCATGCATGCACAGTGCTGCAAATGGAAGCCGGGGCTGTGACAGGAGGCGTGATTAGGAATACAATCCTTTCACAGGGCTTTGCATTTAAAGAAACTTCTGTGTGCTCAGCATTGAGATTTGCTGTCCCAGTGACATCACACGCTGTCAGGGCTGCAGTTGAAGCAATACCACCAGCAGTGCTTTGCCTTTCCTGCTTAGTTTGCCCGAGACTATTAGACTCATTTACATATGTTAAACAGCCATTGTGTGACCCTGTGACAAAGAGTTTTATTTCATCTGCTCCTTCGAGGAGTAAACTGAAATAGAGAATGACCTGGTGGCTTGTCTGTGGCCACACAAGAAGTTATCTGGTGGACCTGCAATTGGAACCCTGGAGTCCCGGCTCTGCTGTGTTCTGATGACTTGATAAGCTCTTCCTCCTGGCGTGCAGCCCAGGACCAGCGAGGCTTCACCTCCAGTGGGTTGTTCTGGCCTCCCTGGTGTATCTCCAGACCTGAGAATAAGAGCTGGGTGTCATGATTACCAGTCTCTTGTTCTAAGCAGCAGGCTGCAGTGCGAGTGCCTGGAGGAAGCAGTGGTCAATGAGGAAGCCGCCCTGCCAGCTCCCAGTGACCTACTGCAGCCTCAGATGGACTGAGCACGGGCTGGGTCACTGCCCTGCGACCTGAGTCCCTCCCTAGACACTGCTCGAACTTTTTAAGATTGCTTTGATCAGTACTGCTCTAGATAAGTACGGATATTCTTCCATCACCCTGTTTTAATTTTTGGGTTTTCGGCTTTTGGGTACTTCTTTGGGGTCTGATTTTTCAGAAGAAAAGTGCACTGTGAAAGTTGAGGGCTGCTGAAATACCCCAAGGAGAATATCCAAACACAGAGGTTCCCAAAATCACCCTTCGTTTTTGAAATGCGGGTTCTTTCTGCAGTTATTTTACATTGATGTCACTTAGGTTTTCCTGTCAGGCAATTGTCATGTGCTCTTTGCATGCCTGAAAAATTATCAGATATAATGAAAATAAGGATGCTGATGGTATTACATGGTTTTACCGCCTGTACTGAATGTCCCCAATGAGCCTTGATGACTGTGGTAGCTAGCTCGAGAAAGACTGCATAGTTTGGGGGGAATATCATTAAGGGTATGAATTAGGACGGTCAGCTATTACAGCAGGCATGGCTGTGGTTAGGATGTTGATGAGGCACTTAAAAAGGAGGTGAGAAAAAAACTAATCCCAGGCTTATGTCAAAAAGCTTTTATTTTAAAATAATTTCCGTGCTTTTGATGGGATTCTGTGCTGGAGGCAATATTACTTCCAACTCATCTTCATGTGTCTGTGCTAGCATTTTTGATAACTATTTAAATAATTTAAAGTTATATTGTAGTTTCTGTGTGCTAACTTTGTATGGATTCTACAATTTTGGTAGAAAATTAAATACACAAACACTTCAGAGATTCACTAAGATAAGAGAACCTGAGGTAATCCATAATTTTTACATTGTTTTAGATAAATATATGCTTTATTGAAATTTACAAGACTGGAGAAGAAAAAAACATTTTTAAGAGGCATTTTTTGTAGTGCACAACTAGATGCAATTTATCTAGTCTCTCTTTCATCTTGGTTTCTTCTCTTCTTCCTCTCAGTTATTTCCCAGGGGTAAAAATAGATGTTATGCCATTTCACTTTGGAGATCCCAATTAACGAGGATATAAAGGAAGCTTTGTGTGTGAGACCTCATCTGTTGGGTTGTAGGGTTTTCTTTTCATGGGCCACAAACTTTAAATTACTGCTCTTCCTTAAAA